CCCCCCGCCTCTGATCGAATGAAAATGACAAAGTCTGTTTAACGGTGAAACGTGTTTAACATTAATATATAGGGATAGCCCTACTCTTTCATCGCGGACGATCTTTGCCTAAGACCGACGTCACGACCAGTGTTATTAACAAGAACTCGGTTTATCTCCTTTTTTTTGCCCATATATGTATAAATAGTCAGGACTTAGTGGTTGGTTTTGTTGAAAGGACGTATTAGAGCAGATCACCAGTGTTGTGAAGGACGCACAGAAATAATCGATCGAAACACGTGCAATAATTTGGATGTACAACAGAGCATATATAAAAGAAAGTTACGACCTACCTTTGCCTCTCGGTACAGTGGCAAGCCCAAGGAGAGAAACCCTATAGTCGTACCCACTTCCTGTGACAAGTCCTTTGGATCAACTACGAGACTACACTCTGAGGAAGGTAAGACTCTCCTAGTGTCCTATGTACCTACACATTCGGCCCTGCTCCTCTCAAGAGATGGTGGAGTATGACCACGCGATAAGGCGTAACAAGTTTACTGTACTCTTATTATTATTATAAGGAGAAATGGACGCACTGGTGCTACAACGTCAGCCCCGAAGGGCGAACTACTTCGGCCAAGGTCTACATGACTCCGTATGGACGCACCAGACGAGGCGTCGCCACCAGAGACTACTAGTGGCTGCGCAACGAGACGGTCGCGGCGGTACTATAGGAAGGAGTTGAAAAGACTGCCCGTCGCACAGCGCGCAAATATCCTCCTCCCTCCTCTCCCCCCCCAGATATCACCTCGCTGTATAAATAACACCCAGAGTTCCTTGCTGCTCACATTGAAACAAAATGTCGGCCATGTTTTAAAAGGGGTATGAAAGCTCCTCCTGAAGATTTTTTCCTCTACACACAATTGATGTAGTGATCACAACGTGGTGGTGGAGCCAAAGGAAAGGGGGGAGACAGGACAGTGCAATCTGCGCCAATGTAAAGCCGGACAAAACAAACTCTACCTTTATCCCGAAGGGGACGTCTTCAAAATTTACCAACATGTACCGGTCCCCGCGGCTGGCCGGATCTCTGCCCCTGAGCTGTGGAAATAGTAGAGAATTAGCCGAGTTTGCAACAGTACAATGAGGATGTCGTGGGGATCTCCCAATATGGTATACAGTACCTTCATAAAAGTCTCAACAGCGCCTTTTGCTATGTCCAGAAAGGTAGTGCCCAGATGGGTGCGCTGGTTCATTGAAGCGGACGTGTCTATCAGAAAAAGTAACACGGGCATTGTGATGGTAATGACACGTTCTGCATGGACTTGGTGTCAGTACAACCGGCCAAAACGCAAAAAAAATCTTTTGTTCTCCTACCCGCCTGTATCACCTCTCAGCTAGCTAGCTGGCTAGCTGGCATGCTAACTGTCTGTCTCACACATTCTTCTCAAAAAAAGTGTAAGAATAGTGAGGGTAGAAGCCCTTTCCGGGCTAACTAAACTAAAAACCTCAAACCCTAGGGGCAGGTTATTGATTCACGAGGGATTTTGATAATTTTAACAATATTTTGCGAATATTTCTAAGTTTCATAGTAACAAAGTTCCCCCCTCATAGTGTGTCCCTGCTTCTCCCTACACTGAATGCGCTGTGGCTCAGCAACTGGTTTTATCATTAGCTCATCGCTAGACCACACCCCCTAAACGGTCTGTCAGTATCACATGGAATATTACTCGCTTCTCATTGGCCGTGTGAAGCCTCTCATTACCATATCCAAATAAGGCCAGAGCTGAGCGTCTCGTGCGCATGCTTGCCTGTCTGAGAGGAATGCGAGGAAAATATTCTGTAGATGCAAATATGTGTGTCAAAGAACTATGTCGCGACGCACTCTGTTGTAGAAGCCTTGAACTAAGTTATTTGAGCACATTATAACAATGTCTGTCCTGAGAGATAATTACATAATCCATATTTACCTCATCCTATGCACGGGCGTGGGCTACTGTGAAAGACAACCCCTAAAGAGGAAACTCAAGATAGACAATAATATGGAAATTCAAACTGTGAAATATTAACCCAGTGATGCACACAGGGTGTACAGAAAGTACTTATTCACACTATTTGTTGCTTTGCAGCTTGTTTTCATGTGATAAACAAGTAAAGACAGCCCTTCTTTGTGAAAAACAATGTGAAGGAAGAAAGGTTTAGCTGAAGAGTCGCTGCAAGGGATTGACATGCGCAAGCACGCACTCACACAACACTAGCTGTAAAATGGCTATACTTTGCATAAATGCATTTATATATCGCTTTTCCTGGTGCTCAAAGACGCTTTATGAATAGGGATTAAATAAGTGAGATTTATTAAAGTAGTAAGTCAGATTTCTGTTATCGCATCCCATCAGTTTTGGGCTTTCACTAACATGTCTACTTCACAAAATATATCTCAAAATACCACACACACTTAGGAATTCTTCAATTGATCTCCAACAGGCTCCACATCATCTGAGCTGATTATAAGCTTCACTCTTAATGTCACATGACACTCAGCACGATTTTGCAATAACATTTACATAATGAAGCTCCTTGGAAAATATTATCGCTTCCGCAAAAATAAGAGGAAACCATCCGGTGGCAGTCGATAACAAAGAGGAGGAAGGTCTATTGCCTCTTGTTTGGCTGAGTTCTCGAATGCAACACACACACACACACACACACACACACACACACACACACACACACACACACACACACACACACACACACACACACGCACGCACGCACACACACACACACGCACACACACACACACACGCGCACCCCCGTTCATTATCCGGCGTGTCACAAACAGGTTTTTCAGAATAAAAATAATTATGGAGAAAGTGTAATAGGATTTGGTGGGGAAAAATGTACACAGCTTGTATGAACATGTATCACCATTTTGTTTCCATGTATTTGCAAGATTTACAAGTATGTTCCACTTTAAAAACGCAAAATATTGGCAAAAGGTTTGTGATATTGGGAGGGATGAGCCTCTCTTTATGCACACATGCAGAGCACACACAGTGAAATGTGTTCTCTGCTTTTAACCCATCCTCGTACCAGGAGTACTAGAGCAGTGGGCATGCAGCTATTGTACAGCGCCTGGGGGGCAATGGGAGTGGGGGTTGTCTGGTGCCTTGCTCAAGGGCACCACAGCAGGGCAGGAGGTGAACTGGGCCCTATCCAAGTCAACACTCCATACTTTAAGTCTGTTCAGGGACTTGAACCGGCGACCCTAGCACCCAGTCCAAGTGACTGAGCCACTGCCATCTTAAATAGTGAATGGTTGTAATTCTTTCTTTTATTTGACTAATTTATGATAAAATAATATATAGGCTACTGTGGTAAAAGTAAAACATTCTGTAAACTTAGTAAACAAATGCTGAACCCTACAGCATACACATTTTAAACCTTTTATTTGGAAATCCCCAAAAATCTGACCGGAAATAATTGTCATCATGTTTCACAACTTTCTGTAAACAGAGGAGCTAAACGTTACACTTCGTTGTAACGTTTACATTTAATAGTTCAATCATTCATATACTTTATCTATACAAATAAGGTCATCATTACATCTAAGATTGTCAGTCAGGATTTTACTATGAAAGTCATAACCAGAAGTGGGATGTTTTGTTGTGAAGGGGACTTGATTACTGTGTGGGTCCTTCAGTGACATGTATAAAGCTACCAAGAGTAGCTTAAAATAGACTTCAAGTTGTTTACCTTCAGCATAAAAGCAAGCTGCATATATCATATTCACCTTATTGAGTAACTTGTTGACAGTTTATTTTTCATATTGTGTAGTACATGTTTAACAGAGGTTTAATTTCCACAGTGGGAGTCATGTTTGAACAAAGTCTTTTGTGCAACAGTGTGTTGTTCTGTTTTAATATAATGTGTTGGTAAGGACATGGCTGTTTTTTAATATTAGAAATAGTAAGTGTTAGGGGGGTTACTTACTTAATAAAATACAATTGATAATAGACTACTGCTTACCCTGCAACATGTTTTAGTAATGCAACTATTACATTATTATTCAAAGAGATGTTTCCTATGAATTTTTGATTACTTTCATAACTTACATACACTTAAATCATGAAGTGCACTCAACACAACAGTGATTGAGGCTGAGACTTTTTTCTAACAACTGCTTCTCTGTCATCTTTGTATATAATAATTTAAAAACAACTTCAACTTCATTATCTAGAAGGGTTTATCATTCCATTTACAATTTAAAGGGTGTCTTTACTGTTTTGTAGAACACTTAAAGGAGTGAAGTCCTATTTAAGTAAAGTTAATTATTCTTTCTTCTTTATATTTTATTCTTCTAGAAGCCTTCGATATAAATGCTTTTATTTTGACATCAAACCAGAAGTTTTATTTTGTTGACCGGAAGTGCTTGCTGCCTGATTGTAGGCGGATGTGTTGTGTTTGTTGTCAGCTGACAGGCAGCATCCGTCACAACACCGCGCTGCTCGCTGACAGCTAGCTAGCAGCTATTAGCAGCTATTAGCCGGGGCTCTGCGGGTATGTTTCCCGGAGTCTGGACCGTAGACGGAGGTTTGTGTACTACCGACTCATGGCGGCCGAAATACTGCCCCAACCGCAGGCTCGGAAGCCGTGTCTGCTGAGCAAAATCGAGGCTTTCCAAGATGTGGTTAGCACGGCGGTCATCATTCCCAAAGAAGACGGCGTTATCAGCGTGTCGGAGGACAGGTACATTAAGCTGCACTGCGGCTGGACCACAACATAACATTACAATCCTCCATTAAATCCATCAAAATCGTCATTATGTTGTTGTTTTTTACCCAACAACAGTGTCTATGCTCAGAGGTGGGAAGTAACTAAGTAGATTTACTCAAGTACAGCTTAAGTAGCCTACAATGTTATGCTATTTTGTATTTCTACTCCACTACAATTCAGAGGTAAATTATGTACTTTTACTCCACTACATCTATTTAGCACCTTTTAGTTACTTTACAGATATTGATTAATGATGTGAAACACAATCAACATTTAAATCAGACTTTAGTTCCACCTGGAGTAAATTCACAAGCTACCCTGCAGTATACAAAGTCATTAAAACTAGCTGCACCTTTACCAGCTTTGATAACACTTTAATGTTCAATCATTATAATACAAAAATAGAATATATTATTCTGAATTGGACCAATCTGCATAATGAGTACTTTTACTTTAGGTACTTTAAGTGTATTTTGCTGCCAATACTTTTGTACTTTTACTTGAGTAACATTTTGAATGCAGGACTTTTACTTGTAACAGTCAGAGTATTCCTACACTCTTGTACTTCTACTTTTACTAAAGTACAAGATCTGAGTGCTTTCCACCTCTAAAAATAACATTAAAATCAAGATTCATAAACGTAATTTAATGTTTTTTACCCAACAACAACGTCTTCTCTCCAGTTGGTCATTGATTAAGCTCGCGCCGCAGCCGTTGGGCTTAATCATTTCAAAAAGCCGTTTGGAGCAGAAACAGACCAACGGTTTATGGGTAAAGACGAAAACACAGCATAACGTTTCTATAAAAATGTCAGCTGACAGTCAATATTTTTAATATACTTTCTATCTATTGGCTTTTTTCCTTAAACATGCATTTTGTTCAGAATATAAACTCATATGTGTACACAGTGGAAGCTAATCACAACGAAGGGACAAACAAAAAAGCTGAAATACAAATTGAGAGAAAACTAAATAAATAGGCTACAAATAAAACAAAAATCGAAGCAGTAACTTATTTATCTTTGGAATAAGAGCACTTTTTTGTTTCCCCCCTCGCTCTCCCAGTTTTAAAGTTGCCTCTGGCTGTATCTGTGGCTTCTTTGGTTGCCAAGTGTATTTATCCAGTATATACTGACATCTGCATGAGGGTGTGTGTGATCCCCTGCATGTTCAAAGGTTGCGTTTCCTATAATACTTGTGCAATCTCAATGAATGTACCAATTACACCTAGGATACTTTTGAATATACTCATAGTAGCTATATAAGCTATAGTACCAGGTTTATTTAAGTCGTCTTATGCCTTAGTATTTTGGTGCAAACCGGTCACAATAGTAAGAGAAAAACAGGTACTGCAATTGATATAAAGGAAATCAAATAAAATGAAAACTTTTTGTTGATATGTATTAGTAGTTTACATGCAAATATGGCAGACAGTGGGTCAGATTGCACATAAGGAATCCAATGCAGGAATTAAACATCGTAAGCAGGCCCCACTGTTCTGAGAGCATAAAATATAGATTTGTTTGAACTTAATAACGATCTTATTCATGTAGTGGTACGTCTATATACTATTAAAAATATTCTTAGAATTCGATTTTCGTCAGTCCAAAGCCCAAAGATGTTCACTTTAATATGATATAGAATTACAGGAAATCTCCTTCTGCATGTAAAATGACTAACCGTTGCACTCTCCATTACGCCTCAGGTGCCATCAGAGCTCTTGTAATTTGGCTTTAATGTTCTGGTTTCTCCCACAGGACGATCCGGGTATGGCTGAAGAGAGACAGCGGGCAGTACTGGCCCAGTGTCTACCACACAATGACCAGTAAGTATCCTTTCCTATATCTTCCCCTTCACATATGGGTTTACCACTAAAACGTATTTTTGGCTCCTGTTTTGAGGAAATATTTTTAAACAAAGGTTTGAACAAGCCGATCGATTGCTCAGTGTAATCTAATAAATCAGTAATTCCTCAGAGAGTGGTGGCATATTAAAACAGCAAAGGGACAGTGCTGACGAAAGGTTGTTAATAGAAGTAGAAGAAGCAAATATATAACAAAGTTAGATAACGTCACAACCATGGTAAAGAGGAGTAGCAGTTTAATACAAAATGGGTTAACTAGCAGCCATGAAGTATCACATGATCAGTGTGATAGCACATGATCATGATTGCACAACATTGGTACATGAATATGTATGAGTGCGTCACGTTAGTCCACAGAGTCGTCCAGACCCTGTTCTGTTCGCTCTTCCTGTTTGTTTCCTTTCATTCTGTGTCAGTGTCTCACCTCTCCTTGGATAAAATAAGACCCCTAAAAGCTGAGATAGCGATTCCCAAAGTAGACAAAGCACAACCATGTTTTTATTTTCTAAAACACTGAAAATGTCTTATTCAAAGGGGACTGTCGGCCTTGATAATGATCAGAATGTCACCAGATTTGGATTCAATCTTGATGCCATCTCTACAGAGGCATAGCATACAATAAAGCAAACATTTCATCAATATCTGTGTTAATTTGTGCAAAATATAAACTTAAACACATGAGTATTAGGTGGGAATTAAATCGGGAGTTTGTTGCTCTTCTATCAAAGCGTGGAGTTTACTGAAATAAGATTAAGAGTCAGAACTCATGTACGATCATGAACTCTCCTCTCTTCCCGTCTCTGACAACGCTTGTCCTCCAGTTGTGCAACTCAAGTAAATCCCATGCTGCCATCAGCAAAATCTGAAGCTTACAAAAGCATGACCAGAGGCTGCAGATACTCAGGCCTTTAGTTAGATCATATAAAAACTGAATTTGCAAATGATAACACAGTATACAGGATTTACTGATATAATGTTAATCGTACGTGACATAACATTGTATATCATAGAGGTAGAAATACTGAATTATAGCATTTCTTTCATACATAATCAGTGCATAATTGTATCTTTGAGTTGATTTGTAACATATTTTTCATGGTTTGTTGAAACTCCAACTTTGGAAGTACGTTTATTTTGCCCCCGAAGCCTCAGTCAACACATTTGGGAAATTGCAACACAACAATATTTTCCAAAGTTGTAAAAAGGTCAACAAAATAACTCTTATTTATTTACAGTGTATTGATTGTGTGGGTTATTTTTTACACACACTATATCGGATGGAAATGAGCTATTAGCTATAATCTGGCATAATTCATCTCTTCTCTGTTCTCAGATGAATGTATTTGTATGCATGCATGGTCCTTGTTGAAATAAATACATAATATATATATATCTGCCAAACAGGGTCTCAACAGAGAGGAAGATCTGTCCCAAACATCTGATAAACAGCACTATAAGTATATAATCAGTGTTGGGTGTAACGCGTTACAAAAGAAACGGAGTTACAGTAATGTATTACTTTTTGCTGTAACGAATGCATTACTAATGAAATGTGGGTAATATACTACCCGTTACAATTCTCAGTAACGCAGTTACAACACATTTAACCCGGAATTAAATGGTGTTTTGTTTTTTAAGAATTCATTAACATCGCAAGACATTCCGACACCAGAGAGAAATTGTGCGGGTAGATTAGTAAGCCTGGTGTTTACCCGTCTGTCGGGTGTTCTTTTCCCCATAATGACCGCCTCGCTGCATATCATCCCGCTTATTACACGGCCATATACTAAACAAACTACACAGCCCATTCCGTGTTCCTGTTATTGTTTACTTCCTCTCTGCCTTCTTCTGGTGATTTATCTGACATCCAGCGCTCCGTCTTTTAACCTCTTTTCCTTTCTCTTTGTTGATCCTCCGTAGCAACCTTCATTATAGTCCTTGACAGTGGTCTGTACTGCTGTATTAACAACGTGTCACATGTTAAGAATTTACAATCAGAACCGAGTATTCAACTAAGCCGTGTAATAAAAGTGGTTAGTAGCCTTAAGGGCCTACACAGTTGTTATGCTATACCACATGCTCTTCACTGGATGTATAATGAACTCCACTAAACTACATTTCAGCATTTAAAATACCTAGCCATTCTTTTGAGGTTATTATGGTAAAGTAACTCAAAAGTAGTGTAACTCATTACATTTCAGAGACAGTAATATTGTAATATAACTTATTACTTAAAAAGGACAGTAATATGTCATATGTACTATATTACATTTTGGAAGTAACTTCCCCAACACTGTATATAATACAAACAGGGAACAAACATATTTTGGCTTTTAATGTCAGAGGTACATTTAAAAAAGTTGATATATTTATTGGAACAAAATAAACAAAGACATCACCCTGGATAAGTAACTAAAATGGACTTTGTTTGACTATTTAATGACATTTAAAAGACCAAACAATACACCTATTAATCTGTCTGCTTATTATTTTCTATTCTTTTAACTCTATTTAACATTTGGTAAACAATTAAAACAATTAGGCCCTAATTTGGACTGGAAAATCGTATTAAAATAAAATAAAAAGGGTAAATTATTCTTCTTGTTTGTGTCCAGCGTCGTGCTCCTGCATGTCCTTTAACCCAGAGACCAGGAGGCTGTCATTGGGCACGGACACCGGCAGTATCCAAGTAAGTCCAACCCTTTCCACTTATTTAACTGAATATTGTGTGTGTGTGTGTGTGTGTGTGTGTGTGTGTGTGTGTGTGTGTGTGTGTGTGTGTGTGTGTGTGTGAACTGTGGGCTGAAAATAAAAACGTCTCTTTAATTTCCTCTTTAAGATGTGTAGAGAGATTTAAGTAGTTTTATTTGATGTCATTGGCCGGTCTTTTGTAAGATGCACCATTTTTTTTTTTTACTGTCCAGCTTATTTAGTTGTTTTAGGGGTTTCACAGTGGGAGTTGTTTATTTTGGAACAAGTTGTCCCGAAACAAATTCAGACAGTAACACTGCAGAACATTTCCAAGGTTTTGAATCTCAGTACAACCTTGTGTTAACAAGTTGTGTAGTAAGAGGAAGGCCTGCAGATTTGTTATTAGTGATTTGCATTTACATCTGTAGAACAGAGGGAAGTGTTTATCTTCCTGCAGGAGGGAGGCCTACGCTTCAAATATGATCACGTTTTCGGAACATTTTAGTTTCTCTGTAACTACGTACTTACTGGAATTTCTACACAGGAACTTCATTTGTTGCCATTTATAGATTTATTTGGAAACCTTGGTCATTGAACTCAGTCACTGTGAACATTTCTCTCCACTTCCTGTCTTTTAGGAGTTCATCCTGTCAGAAGACTACAATAAGATGACCCCAGCAAGCACTTACCAGGGTGAGACAGGAAGTGTGTGTGTGTGTGTGTGTGTGTGTGTGTGTGTGTGTGTGTGTGTGTGTGTGTGTGTGTGTGTGTGTGTGTGTGTGTGTGTGTGTGTGTGTGTGTGTGTGTGTGTGTGTGTGTGTGTGTGTGTGTGTGTGGGTCAGTCTGTGACAATGTGTTGGAGCACTAGCCAAAAGAAGCGTGAGTGTTACATAGTGATGTCACTTTGTTCAGATGTAAAAAAGGAGTCCAACTGAGGGGGGGGGGATTTAAGCCTTTTTAGACCATTCACATACAAAAACCTATATCACACACTACTGGAGACGGATCACCTTTTATAAGCATAATAGGGCCTCTCCAAATGCTTATTTTATGAACACTGTTCACCAAGATACTCTGGATAGGTCCCTGCACTGTGCTTGTGAAAATAAATCTTGTGTGTGTGTGTGTGCGCAGCCCATCAGGGCAGAGTCTCAGTGGTGCTGTTTGTGTTGGAGATGGAGTGGCTCCTGAGCACCGGCCAGGATAAAAACTTCAACTGGCACTGCTCTGAGAGCGGCCAGCAGCTGGGGACGTACCGGACCGCCGCCTGGGTGTCAGGACTCCAGTATCCTTTAATAACCCTCCTGTTTGTTGTCTTGATTTGTCCGCTACTTTGCCTCACACTCAATAAACCTGACAGCTTATCTTAAAGGGAGATGAATGGATTCAACCAAGTGGGAGCCATCTTTGGTGCTCCTGACTGCGAATAATCTCCAGCTTTTATTTATTATAAAACAGTCTATTTTAAGGGCCACAGCAACATTACACAGAGCAATTTGAGCTTAGCTTCCTGTTAGCGTTGTGGCTAACAATAGGCATCACACATGCTGTTGTCATGGAAACGGTGTGAATAGCTTTCAGTAATAGCCAGATGAAAGGCTCCGCGGCAACACGGATCCTTACCAATGAGCTGTGAGGTCATCACTCTGCAAATCTTTACAGCAGGAGAGCACTTTTATTCTAGCTACAACACAAAACACTAATTTGGCGTCTCCCCGGGAACCGAACTTACAAAAATACATCATGAGTTGCTCTAATGTCTGCATTTATAGACTACTGATGACGAACACAAGAAACCATGAATTACACATTTAAATGAGTTCATTTGAACCCATAAGGACCCTCCGTGACACGGGTGTCACATGAACTTTAAATGTTCTGGAAAGTTCCTTATACAGCTTTAGCCTGCGACACACTGAACAGTCTGGTGGGTCATGGTCCAGGTCATGTGATTTTGTGTTCCCATAACAACGTGTCCAAGATGTCCATGTGCCAGACTAACACATGTGACATAACAACAGCTTTTTGTTTGTTGCTAAAGGTAAAATTCAAGCCATTTAAGAATTAAAATGCTTACATAACATGTCCTTTATTACATTTAACCTGTTGTGGAGACATCTCTTGATCAAATTGATATGAAACAAATGAGACAAACATCGCTGTGACACTGATGTCACATCGGGACTTTAACCCTAAACTTTCACAGTAAACCCAAAGTGACATATATGCACAATTAGAAACATGATTATGATCTGCTCAGTTAATTTAGCTGATTCAATTATATTGAGTTGATATGTTCTTATTCTTCAATTCAAAGAATGTTCAAACTGATTCAAACCAAAAAATCCTCCTCATTAAGGTGGAGGAGAGCGAAATGAGGCATGGCTAAAATGCATGATCTGTTTGGTATTTTGAAAAAGAAAACGTATAAATATACCTTATATAGGTATGGCCCTAAAATATATTATTCAAATATAGCATGATAGGTCTCCTTTAAGTTAGAAATAAGAGTTATTTTACCATTAAAGCCCAATGTTACATATATGTAACATTTCAGATATTTGACACTAGGGGGGGGGTTCTTGTCAGAAATGTGTTCTAGGTGGTCTATTTAGTCTAAATTATGTTCCCCTTAATTTCCCCAAAAGTAGAAATGGGTTCGGGTTCTAAGAACAGTAACTGCTTTAATCAAAAATCAGAATCAGGTTAGTTGCCAAGTATTTTTACACATACTAGAATACTATTTTGTATACACCACTGCATACATATTTTATTTAGTATATTATATATATATATATATATATATAATATTAAGTTTTTAAAATTAGACAAATATAGAACTATTATAAAAACTTTAAAAAAAATATTTACTGAGTAAGAACATACCTGAAAAATAAAATGTGTAGTCTAATTTACCGCCTCAAAATGAATATACATTGAAAAACAAATCAAATCAAGGCAGTTTTTGATCAAATAATGAACGGATTATCGATCTCAGATTCCTAGAGAGATAAAGATCATTTCTGTTATTAGAAGAGCAGAAGGATTTAGGTTTGATAGGATGCAGGTTATTTCTTGTTCTTCTTCACTTCGGACAGATTTTGGTCCGCAGTGACTTAACCAGGCCAGAGGAGGACTTTGAATAAATGGCCAGTGAAAGAACGAAGAGTCCTCCACTTCCACTACCACTACCAAGGGCTAGGACTTTACATAGTTTACACACAGATACAACCAGTGGTGTAGTGGTCGTTGGACGGGGGGGATCGCGGTCCCCCCACTTATTTGGAGCCCCCACTTTTTTGAAGCATGATTTTTTTTTTTAATAGTCTATACATTTTTTATGTAACTTATGTGCCGGTGTGTCCATGGTTTTGAGTCTGTGTGTGTGTTGAGCGCAGTGCGTGCTTTTTGCAGTACAGTAACTAAAGTAGGACTAAGCATAGCGGTAGTTTCTGTAGACCTGCTGTCTGCCCGTTTTGTGAGTGCACTGCACACTTTGGGATGACTAGGGTGACCAGGTGCACAGCATTTTTATCATTTGTCCCGCGTCCCACAAATTGAGAGTATGTCCCGCATTTGAGTGACAGTCGCGCAGAAAGTTTGGTTCGCTGACGTCCGGCACCGCCCTTTATTATTATATTTTTAAACGGCATCATGTAAGTTGCGCTGACAGGCGTCAGAGGTCCACAGTGCACCCCCCACCCCCCGTTGACAGTTCACGAGCGTCGACATTGCGTCCACCCAGTAAAACAAATCCCCACTACACCACTGGATACAACTATTATTTTTACTGTGCAGATTTTGCAGTGGGTTCTTGGGTTCAGATAAAGGTCCAACTTAATGCATCAATAGCTTTAGACCTTAACTCCATCCCAGGTTTGATGTGGAGACCAGACACGCCTTCGTGGGAGATCAGTCCGGTCAGGTGACCATCCTGAAGCTGGAGCAGGACAGCTGCAGCCTGGTCACCACCTTCAAGGGACACACAGGTACACACACACACACACACACACACACACACACACACACACACACACACACACACACACACACTGGTGCTGAAGCTATAAATCAGTTAGTCGATCACTTTACTGATTCTCTCCGTCATTGCCTCTGCCAAGGAGCTGCATAAGCAGAATCACAACTCCATTTTCTTGAGAGTTGGTTGAAGGGTGTATCATGGGACAACAAATAGCCCCTGTACATTTTGCAACTGATCTGAATCACAGGGCGGTTACACACAATAACTTTCACTTTAATTAACTCTGCGAGATGGGGCATGTGAACTGCATTCATGTGGTGTTGAAACAATCTTAAAGCCGAGTTCCCGACTGGAAAATTCACTTGAGCTCAAATTGAAAAAACAGATATCAACATGGTTTTGAAATGATCTGAGCAATAACACAGCTTCTTTGTAGCATCCATGTTGTTTCCTCCTCATGATAGAAACATCTTTCCAACTTGCGAAATGGGATTTGTAAAGCATCTAGGCTCGTAATAAATTCACCAGGGTTTTAAACAAAGATGTTGAATTAAGGGGCTTTGCGACGTGTTCATGACTGTTTTTGAAATATCAGAAGCGCAGTAGAAAGAAGCGACATGCAAAGGAGAAACAGTCAGCATGAGAGCCATAAATTCATGTCTCCGTCCAAAGAGCTTATTCAGCTCAGTTTGTCTTTCAACAGAATCATTGAAAAACTTCTGGCCTGATTTCATAAAAGTTGCTTGATGGGTGTTTCCTGAGCCAAGTCACAACACATTGAGTTTTGCAGCAGATCCTAGTTTCAAGGCAGACACACGAAATATGTTTAACTTTTGTTAACATTGTGAGATAGGGAACAAGTGCTGCATTCATGTGGTGTCAAAATAATCATAAGATGTGTTCCTGACTAGTACAATTCATAAAAACGCCCTCTCAAGTCAGAACAACATCTCTGAGACAGATATCAAGGTGTTGCACAAAGACTCTTGGTTTCAGATGAGTTCAGGACTTAAAATAAATATGTCCAACATAGTGATAGGAATTTTATCACACTCACATTTTGTGTGTGTGTGTGTGTGTGTGTGTGTGTGTGTGTGTGTGTGTGTGTGTGTGTGTGTGTGTGTGTGTGTGTGTGTGTGTGTGTTGCTCCAGGTAATGTGACGGCGCTGTGTTGGGACCCGGTCCAGAGGGTGCTGTTCTCCGGCAGCTCAGACCACTCCATCATTATGTGGGACATTGGGGGCCGCAAAGGCACCGCCATCGAGCTGCAAGGACACAAGTAGGAAACACAAACATTCACTCCGATCTGGAATAAGGGTGTTGCCATATACTAGTATTGCTGGAAACCATATTGAATAAATACAACGGAAGCATTGTGCCCATCATGAATCAGCTTTGCACGCTTGTCCGTATAACTATCGCTTATCAGCTACATTGTGAACAAAACATTGAGGGGGAAATCTACAGAAGGAAAGCTAGTGAAGGTTAGCTGCCAGTGTGTAGCACAGTCCTAGCTTACTAAATAAAAGCTAAAAGAGATTGCATTGAGAATTGAAATGTGTAAATTGTTAAGTTGTTTTTACCACTAACCATAACTAAAATCTCCAAACAAATCTTTGTAATTTGTACCTGATTTGTCATTGTGTGTGTGTTTTTCCACAGTGACAAGGTTCAGGGCTTGTGCTATGCCTCACACACTCGTCAGCTCATCTCCTGCAGCTCAGACGGAGGCATTGTCATCTGGAACATGGACGTGACACGACAAGAGGTGAGAGAGAGAGAGAGAGGCAGGCAGGCAGCAGAGTGCGACATGAACGCACACTCAATCTGGGAACTGTGACAGTGTGAAGAAAATAAAATATGGAAATGTGACATGTGTGAGCTGTGTTTTCACGCCTTTTGCACACGCCCTTGTAGTGTCAGAGAGATAAGCGCAGGGCTGCAACTAACAAGTCATTTAATTGTGTATCCATCCACCAGTTACTTTCTAGATTAATCGATAGACTGTATCTATAACATTTTAGAAATAGACAATATCCGTTCTAGTTTCACAAAGTCTAAGGTGATGTCTTTACATTTCTTGTTTTGTCCTAACAGAAATATATTCTGATATGATACAAAACATAACTCTTTTGGGACTTAAAATACATCTTCCTTTGTATTGGGAATCCTAATTTGAAAAGTGCGGATTAAAGTGTGTGTGTTTGATAGACCCCAGAGTGGCTGGACAGCGACTCGTGTCAGAAGTGTGAGCAGCCTTTCTTCTGGAACTTCAAACAGATGTGGGACAGTAAGAAGATCGGCCTGCGACAGGTGCTGTCCAATCACATTACTTTACAAAAGCTTTTATATTTATAAATCCTCAGTCACAAAGCACATCATGATTCACTCATTAGAAGCTCCATTAAATAATTGTTTTGTCTAAACCAGGGGTCGGCAACCTTTTTGATATGAAGTGCCATTTAAAAAAAAGAATGGTTATCAGCGTGCCAACGATCGAGAATTATCA